ATATCTGCAATGGCCTTATTTCCAAATAAGGTCACCTTCTGAAGGACTAGGGATTAGGACTTCTACATATGCATTTTGGAGTGACACAATTCAACCCATAACATCATCTAAGGTAGTTATGAATTCAAAATCAAACTCAAGAAAAGAAACAGACTGAATTGCCCAAAAGATTGCCTCATAGTATAATTGCAAATAACAGTGTGGATGATTTATTGTGTTAGCGGGGTGGGTGGGAAGTTAGTATGTTGACCCCTGGAATCTTGCTGACTAGGGTGAATACGTGATCATCGAAGAGGCTGTTGGCTGATGAGCAGAGAGGTACGCGGGGGTCTCTACAGAACCCTAATTCCTACTCACCACTTTTTAGGACTAAACCTACATAGGTATGTGCAAAAATTTAGTGTTGAAGGAAACTGTTAGTTCCAAGAGTGAAAAGGAACATCTTGAGAACATTTAAAACACTTTAAGCTCCTTGATACCTAATCTCAAGGTGCTTCTAAGCCTAAAGCTCTGGCTAGGCGTAAGTTTGCCAAGGGGATTCTATATTAAAATGGGGTACTTTTTTTTGTAAGATGACATGGCGGCTTTGGTTTTGTCAGTTTGTGTAGGTGGAAACCTTATAGTTTGTTGTAGTCATTTACTTCCCGGGTGTCTATGATTATAATGAGGGAGTATTTTGTGAAGCTGGGAGCCATCCAAGAAATTAAGCGCCAGACCGTGTGACAAGGACCAAAGTATAGCTCTGGGGCAGATTTGAGGTAGGACAGCCCAGGAGTTAGGGGCGCGAACTGCGGTGGCAGACAGGCCTGAGTTCAAATCGGGTTCTGTCTCTTACATAGGTAACCTTAGGCAAGTTACATGGCCTCTCTGCGGCCAAGGTTTCTCACCTATGGCTGTTCTTTCTAGGTGTGGTAGGCATTAAATGAGATAGTGGATGGCAGAATGTCCATAATGGTAGCAACTGCTCAATAAATGGTACCTATAATTATGCCAGAGAACTCGGGAGTGAACCTTGAAAAACAGGGCTAGTCTCCCTCCCTTCTGTCTTGTTAACTTCTCGGGTGTTATGAGCATTGGGAGCCCAGGAGTCCATGAGTCTTTGCCTCATGACTTGATTCACTTTCATGCTCTCTTGAAAACCAAGCAGTGGGTCTTGGCCTTCTCCTCTCCCCATCCCCACATCTCAGTGGCTCCCAGGTAGGCCTTCCCTCCATCCTTCCTTCACCGGGCCCTCCATCGTTCCGCAAACACACATGACTGCACCATCAGAGAAGGGAATTTCAGAGTCAGGAATGTTCACTAGTAAAAAAGTTATGCTTTCAAGATTTACTTCCTCGGCTGTGGAAAATTTCCAGATACCCAGTCCACTAACTGTTTTCCTTATTTTCTGTACTCTTGATGCTCTAGGGCTTTGATTCTTGATGCAGGGCCTTGATTCCAGAAAGACTGCTCTTCTCAGAACCAGCTAATTCCTTGAGATAGCAAATGACTCCCCTGAGGGTGTGCTTTTGATATGCAAATCAACCAATCCAGAGCCCACACCCCCAACTATCTCCTTTATCAAACTCTCAGACACCAAGCCAATATGAATCACCCTGGGCCAGGTACTAGAGGAGACCACCCTATAGCTCAGAGCCTGCCAAAATTATTCAAACTACCCAAAAACCCCAATAAAGGCTTTGGGCCATGCTCTCCCCACTTCCCCCTCTACCTCCTGACTAAGGCTGGTGCTTCCTCACGTGGCCCTGCGTGATGTGCTGTGGTGCCTCCTGTTTCTAGGGATCTGTGAGTATAAACGTCTCCCATCATGACAGTCATTTCCGTGTCTGCATGTCTCACATACATGACTGACACAAATCCTGGGCCCATTTTAGAACACCCAGGTATAACAATCAGCGACCCCACATACCTTTTCTCCTATTTCCATTCCCCAAGCTCCTCAGCTTCAGCTGAGGATGTCCAGATGCCAACTGACCACATCCATCCGAATATGTCTTCCTGATCACAGAGAGGAGTGGGGCACTGGATCAGGCAGCCAGCAGGGGACCAGAAGACAGAGACTGAGCCTCAGCAATGCCAGTTATCACTGTGGCACCACTGGAACGCCGCTTCACCTCTGTGAGCTTCTGGAACTGTAACACCAGCCCACATAGATTGAATGAAATGTTTCATAGATTCCCCCCTAACGTGCTAGTCGAGGTAGCTGTAGCTAACCTCCCTCTCGCCTTCACTCCACCATCTTGGCACACTTACCCAAGGTCACAAAGCTAGTTGTTGGTAGACCTGTGCAGAGAACCTGGAATCCCAGACTCAGCCCACTGCCTCCTCCATCACACTCTCCTTGGAGCTTCCATTGAAGAGTCTAGCTCTGTGCTCCACTTTCTCTCATGACCCTGGGCCTATCACCTTTCCATCCCTCTGCATCTTCTTTCTTTGCAAAAATGGGCATCATCCTGTCACCCCCTCCAACAGGTAAATTAAAATTGCCATCGAATCCTCCCTTAACTGGAAAACAATCTCATTCCAGGGTCAGATATGCTTTCAAAGCATGAGACACACAATTTTGTCTTTTAAAGACTCCACAGTCTTAAGCAGGATATGGGAAGAGCTTTCTGAACAGATAGAAGAAAGTTTATCCAGTATGGGAAGAACTTCTCCAAGGTTGTAAAGACTCTAGCCACCTCTTGGATAAGAAATTCCCAGTTTTCTCAAACACTTTCCATATATAATAGTCATTATGATGCTAATGTTTATTGAGCATTGTTTATTAGACATAGGGCTAAGCCCTTTGTATGGATTATTTCATCATTTAATCATTGGTATCAATGGTGTTATCGTCACCATATCACAGACAGGAAGTCTGAGGCTAAGAGTGATAATTTTTCCAAGGTCAACCAGCTTGTGAATGGGGGCGCTTGAAGAGGCAGCGCTAGTTGGCCCAGAGCTGGAGCTCCTGACCACCGTGCTTTCCTGCTGGATGTCCCCTCTCGGATCTTTCTTCTACTTCTTCATCCATATCAGCTCCCTTCAAATCAGACAGCTGCAAATGGTGAGGGCCCTAAGGGACAGCTTTGGGAGGGCTTCCTGAAGCTCCACGGTGATGCCCACTTTTAACCCTAAGGAGCCAGCCACTGGGGACTGGAGTCACCTTTTTTAAGAACAACCTGTAATCACAAGTAAAATAACTTCTCTTCAACATCCCTCCTTGAAAACGAGCAGCTTCCCCCAGTCACTGTCAGGCACCCAGCCATTAGCCAAAACATCTCTTCAGTTGAAGAGGCAGCCCAAAGGAAACACTGTGAGAGTGTCTACTGAGTAAGTACTCACACCTGCCAACCAGCCCTGTGCTTTCCTCTCTGCGCACTGGCTTGTTGAAACTTGGACCACATTATATGTGACTGATGACCTCTTGTTGACCCTCCACATCCACTCTCCACCATTCTCCACCCTGCTCTCTGCTCCTGGAGGTTGACACCAATGGACAATATCAATGGCTGGATTCTGCCAATGGAAAGCTCTGGTAGGAGACTGAAGGGAAGGAGAAAATTAAACTCAAGGTATTTCTGCTCTGATTCCCTCCCTTTAGGGATTCCTTGGGTTAGATGTCTCCTACATCAAAAGGTCACCATGATTCTCAAGGTGGCCTGCTTTTCATGATTCTCTCTTTCTGGGACATAGGAACCCTTCTCACAGAAGCCCCCGAAGGCTTAACAAAAGCTATGCATCTCAGAATATCTTCAAACTTCTCTTTTCTTGTCTCTTTCTTATATAACCATTACTAAAAACCCTGGTGTGCAGTTAAGGGTTAGCTCAGTAGGCTTAAGGGATTCGACCTTGTACATTCCAGAGAAAGGACTGGCCCTTGACGGGCTCCTGGGAGGTAACCTCTAAGCCTTTGGAATATCCTGCCTGATAAGAGTGTTTTTGTGTACATGGGGTCTTGGACCATACCAGATAGTTTATGCTAACAATATGACTTATGGTGGGGGCCTTGAAGCATGTGGTATTAGTTTGACCTCTTAAAAAACTGGACACTGAGTAACTATGGTCAGATACACAGGCATTCCATGCCTAGGTTACTGACTTACAATAATCCTGAGCACCAAGGCTTGGGTGAGCTTCCCTGGCTGACAGGACTTCTTATATGCTGTCACACAGAATTGCTGGGAGGACCGAGTGCTCCTTTACAAGTCCACTGGGAGCAGGCAACTGGAAGCCTGCACCTCGTCTCTCCTGGACTCTACTCTGTGCACCTTTTACCTTTGCTGACTTGAATCTGTATCCTTTCACTGTAATAAACTAACCCTGAGTATAACAGCTTGTCTGAGTTCTGTGAATCCTTCTAGTAAATCATTGAAGCTGTGTGTGGGGGGGTGTCTTGGGAACCCCAACTTCCCTAGGAAACAACAAAATAGTCTAATCATAACTTGCTGCCATTATGGGTGGCCACATAGGTAGAAAACAGACATATGCTCATTCAAGAAAGATCCAAGTGGATCTTCCAGGATGGAAATTGGGAGGGGGGGCGTGGGGAGGGAAAGGGGGAGTCTGAAGACACTTCTAAGCATCTCAAGGGGCTTCTGGACTATGAGTCTGTGACTAAGGTGACATGGGACAGGCAGAAGATGGAACACAGGACCCAATCTTTGGTGTTCTGATTGGAGGTGAGATGCTGGGTTGAGTGGAGGTTTAATCCAATGGGACATTTCTCATACTCTTGTGTCATGTACTATTTCTTTTCTTTCTACCCTAAGTTTTAGGAGAAAAGGACATACTCTGAGTCTGAGTCCCCTAAGAGAGAATGACACAAAAGAAAAATATAACTACCACAAAACTTCAACTTAAAGAGTGCATTTTCCCCTTTACGGGATAGATGTCATTGGCTTCTTACCACAGTAGGACTCCTCACCGTCTGCAGCCACAGATCCGAGCATTAGACATAAGCGAGCCACGGGAGTCCCGCGTTCAGCCCCTGTGCCAGCTGGCACCCCCCCACTCACCTGGCCCCACTGACATCCACTCCGACCATCAGCTGCCCGTTCAGGGAGAGGATCTCGTCGCGCAGTCGGACCTTCCCACTCTTCCCTGCCGGGCTGTTCTTCTTCAGCTCTGTCACCCAGATGCAGCCCACATCCAGCACGGGGCCCTGGTGGGTTTTCCTCTTCTTGCCCCCTCTGCGCTTTTCTCCATAGTCCCCGAAAACAGGGATGTTCCCAAAGCTGAGGCCCACGGTCTCCGTGTCCCCCGTCTCCTTGGTGAGGTACACAGTACAGATCTCCATCCCGGGGGGGCTGTGGTCAGGTGGGACCGCACTCTCATCCACAGCAAAGTTCAGCTGGATGTACTCCTGCAGCTTCTGGATGGCTGCCTGGCAGAGCCGCTGCTCCGGCCCCTCCCCGCCCTCCCGTAGGCTGTTCTCCAGCCACTGGCAGAGGAGGGGCAGGTGCAGCACGGCATTGTCCTGGGTGATGGGCATGGTGTTCACTCCCAGACACCGACATCATGAGAGGACCTGCTCCTGGGGGCCGGACCCCACGGGGTCCCATGTCCCTCGGGAACCCTGGCTGTCATCGGCTTTGCCTGCGTTCATGTTCAGGCTGGCAGACGAAGGATGCCTGCTCAAAACCGGGCTGTCTGCGTTGGCAAGAGGGGGACGGGACACACGTAGAACAGTGGGACAATCCTTGCACCTGGCGTGCTCAATGAGAGGAGGAAGGAAGTATCTGGCAAGTCTTTGCTTGGCTCATATCATAGCAGGGCACGTGCAAATGACCGGGAAGTGGGGTATTCCTCCAGCAGCAGCAGCGTGACGTCCCCTGGATTCATTCGCACCTGGAAAGGAAAAAACAACATATTCCTGTGACAACAGTGAGACTTCTGACAGAGAATACACACCCTCCTGTATCACAGAAGGGCAATGTTTGCTTTTTTGAGCCGGAAACCTAATGCCTCTTCCCACTCCCCAGCTTAGCTCCCTCCACCCTGTACACACAGGCACACACACAGATAGAAGGACACACACACACACACACACACACACACACACACATCCCTCCCACAGACAGAAGCCTCTGGAACGCTGACCTTCTCTAGGAAGTTTCCCTGATCAGCAGGGAAAGGAGAAGGCTTTTACCAGGACAAGCTCACATCCAACCAGGAGGCTATGTGACAAGACTCCTCGGAAGACTGTGGAGTGCTTCTCAATATATTTAAGAGCCTACATTCTTAGCAAGTTAAAATCTATGTCCATCTGCCTTGATCCACCCGACTGCACACGTGGCAGGCTCTCCATTCCAGAACTGTGTTCTGACAATGCTACCAAGAGGAGAAAGAGCCCATCAACAGCACAGAGAGATTCTGGCTCTGCCCAAGGACAACACCAGCTCTAAGCTTAGCCATGGATCCCATCTTTATCATGTAGATCCAGAGAGAATAGTGTCCGTTGGCATCCAACAGCTCTTAATCTCCTCTCCACTTTTCCTTTGGAAAACGGTTGACACCAACTGACTCTTAGGCCAAGTCCAAAGCCTTCTACTCCAGAGAAATGTGTCTCCAAGCTTCTGGGTGAGAAGACATTGGCCCCTCCCTTGCCTGGCCTGTAACACACTGCTTAGAGCAGCGATGCACTCACAGCCTGCACACCAGCTGCAGCAAGTGTGTCTCCTCTCCAAAAGCTGGCGGCAAGCCTTGTTCTCGCACAATTTTTGCACAATGCCTGGCACGTAATTGGTCCCTTCAATAAAAGGTTAATTGAATTTCATCACCAATTCTTCTTCTCTACCAAAGAAAATTTTCACCTCCATCCCTTGCAAATGTAGAAAAATGACCCCTTTCATTCTCTTTTATGAACTTCACTTTTGCCCAGAGAAAGTCAATATAAACTGTGCCATCGAAGATGGAAAACATTCTTAGCCTTCTCAGGAAGTGATTTCACAAGAAATCATAATAAATGGGAGAGGTGTCAGAAGCCACGTCAATAATAAATAACCTTATTACTCAGTAACCATCGAGAAATGTCCGGTATAGTAAGTTTTGATTTTCCAAAGAAGTCAAGAGTCAGTTATTAATGGGTTCCAAATAAATCAAAAGCTTAGCAAATATCATCTACATACTCACATGCCTATTGAAAAGAAATGCAAGATGAAAGAAAAGATAATCCATAAATGTACAAAAATCGAAATGTTCCCTGTGGCCAAAATAAGTAACACCTTTCACTGAAAAGTAACTCCACACAGACATTATTTAAATCTTATGGATAAATAAAAATATTTTCCATCAGGCCCAGTAACCTTTATGAGTTTCCTTTTCTTCATTTGTAAAATTTGAAAGTTAGGCTAAGTGATCTCTAAGGCCTCTCAAACACCACAGAAAGATCCTCAAATACAGTCGTACTCATCAATACACTCCCTACCCCACACAGTGCCGGCCATCTTGTAGACTCTCAATGATTTAAAACAAAAATTGAATGGTCTCTGATCCAAGGTGTTAGTCACAGTTCCAATGTTTCCACACATATGAAAACAGTAAATATTTAAAGAGTATCTTGTCCAAAATAAGTCTGATTGAAGAAAACCAAACTTAAGAGTAATAGAGATTTTCTTTTTCCTGTTGTCAACTTGCATTCATTCAATATGTATTTATTGAATGTCAATTAAGAACCAGGCCTTGAACTTGACACTGGGAATATATGGTCAGAAAGGCAAAATCCTTGTCCTAAAGAAATTAATAGTCTAGTGGGGAGATGCATAAATCAATGGAAACTAGTGTGTATTGAGTCTATGACAACCCACTTAACAGAACTGACAAAGGTACACTCCCGGCCGCGTTCATGTACTACATGCTCCCAGGCCCTGGCAATAGATCCAGAGCTAGGCATCTTGTGCAAGCTGGAATTCTTCCTGAGAACTGAGCACTGGGACCTAGAGAGGAAAGGTCTAGTCTCAACTATCATTTTTGAACTAGGGATTCTGGATGGCAACATTCTACCTGCTATGTTAACTGAGTAGCCAAGAAAGTCATCCTGTCAAGAAATAAAATGAAATTGATCAGTAAAAGGCAGAGGTGCAAGACTGGGGAGAGAGAGCACACTGTTCTCCCATAGCAATCCCAGTCTTAGTTCCAGCCATCAAGGACAGAGCTGCTGCATTGCTACCCTCCCCTTCAATCTGAAAAACCATTATCAATCCTTACAATACATCACATTTTTAAAACTTAACTACTTTTGAAAAAAGAAAAAAGGTAAAGAAAAACTAAATAAAAACCAAAAAAAAAACAACTTTAAATGAAATAAACTTTACCTTGAGTTGTTTTCTGTACTTTGCCACTCAAAAGTTGTTAAATGATACACTGGAGGTGAGCAAAGCTGATTGGCACAGCTTGGAGCAGTTGTCCATCTGTCATCCAATCAGTTATTGCCAAGGGTCGTGAGATATCAACATGGCTGCCAGAAGCCCTCCCTCTGACCCTGAAAGTGGTAAGAACAGGGAAAGAGTTTTCAGAAAAGGAAAAATTATTTCAAGTGTACAGACACCCTCAAAGACATTTAGTCTTACTTTGGTGTTCAGGCGGTACATAACTTTTCAATTCCATACCTATAACTGGGAATTTTCTAGTAATCCTACCAGCCCCCTATTCTATCAACTCTTTCTCCTGGGATCTTCTATAAACAAGGAAAGTAGAGGCATTCTGATCCACTGCAATAATCTGAGATGTTTCAAGGTATAAGAAGAGATACAAAATTTTTCAATTCTATGAAAAGTGTGGTTCTTCCAAAACATCCAATGAAAAATTTTAGTGAACAAAAAGTTGACCCAGAGCTGATACAGAACAGAAATTTGCAAAGGGTTACAAATACCAACATCCCTCCATGGCTGATCCGTGCTAAGGTCTAAAAGTTTCTCCTCCTGAAAATCAATCTATATCAACAGTGAGCAGAATTTGCGGACATGGAGCTCCATTGCATGGTCCAGCTCACTTTTGTCTATCATATAATTCTCCAATTAGAGACTCATTTCAAGCAAACAGCCATGATAATTTAAATTAATTTTGAGTAGCCTGAAGCTGACAGCCTTAGCATTCGAAATAAATGCTTCTGTTACTGAGGTAAATTTATTGAGACTATCTTTAGAATCTACCAACTTTCTTGGATCCCCCTTTAGCTAAGTCATATATTCACAACAGGGTGATATAATTTACAAGGGGGTGAAAACTGGGTTGGGAGTTTAGGTAAAAAAAAAAAATCTTAGATATTATAATGGTTAGTGCCCACCCTCAAAGCTTAATCTAACCTGAAAAAGATCTTACTCCTTAGTATTTAATTTCTTGTGTTAGAGTAAATTTAAATTAAATTAATTTTTTTCTCCAGGGTGTGGAGAGGTGGACACTAATGAAAAAGACTGAAACACTCAACTAAGCGAAACAAATCATCTGCCCAGAGTCACGCAAAATCCAGAGGCTGAATCCTGAACAGGCAGGGGGTATAAAAGGGACCTAGGGTTTACCCAGATCTTGCTGTAAAGTCAGATTCACTGTGGGCTGTCTTGTACAAACTCCCTCTTGCAAACCATCCTGGATTCTTGGCATCCTCCTATTCTGACCTCGGCTAAATTCCAAGTTCCTAAACCTTCTTCTCGTCTTCCTACCTTCTGGACTGGGTTCCTCTTTGGACTTTCAGAAAATGCTCACATTTTAAAAGGAAACCAATGTTGACAACATTCCTACAAAAACTCATGAAATGATGGTAAATTAGTAAACGTAAAATACTACGATGTCAGGGGGTAATTAGTACCATGAAGAGAATTACGATAGCACCAGAGGCTAGTGAGTGATGGCGGCAGGAGGGGATTAGGAAAGACCCTTGTGAGAAGAAACCTGAATAAAGTGAGAGGTTGAGGAGAGAGAATACCTGTGGGAAAGTAAAAACAACCCTGAGGGGAGAGCCTCCTCAGCTGCCTGAGGAGGAGAGGGGATGGGTGTAGCTACAAAAGAGGAAGTGGGAGAAA